GGGGCTCCAAGGTCTCCCCGGAGCCTTCTCTTCTCCAGGCTGAACCCCCCCAACTCTCTCAGCCTGTCCTCCCAGCAGAGGGGCTCCAGCCCTCCCAGCATCTCCATGGTAGCCTCCTCTGGCCCAGCTCCAACAGGTCCATGTCTCTCCTGTGCTGAGGCCCCAGAGCTGGAGACAGCCCTGGGTGGGGGGGTGTCTCCCCAGAGCAGAGCAGAGGGGCAAAATCCCCCCGCCTCGACCAGTCCCTAGCTAGTAATGCACAAAGCATAAGGTGACTTTTTCTTTTTCACCCACATCCCTTTCTTTTCTTTTCTTTTTTATTTTATTTTATTTTTTTTTTTTTACTATTTTTCTTTTTTTTTCCCCCCAGCGCAACTGCCCGAGTGCCAAAACCCCTGGCACTCCCCAGGATGCAAAAAGCATCCCCAGCTCCCGGAGAGACACTATCCCATTTTATAGACCCAAGCTGTTCCCTTGCAGTCCCTGAGAGTCAGGCACAAAGGTTTATTTGTGCTGTGGCTTCTCGGAGTATCCTCAGGACCTGGATGCAGCACTTGGTGCTATGCAATAACAGAGCAAGGTCTGGATCCTCACCAGATCCCTCTGCCTCCTTCCCCCTGCAGTTATCACCTCTCCAACCCTCTGGGTTTTTTACCCTTTCAGCTCTCCCTTTGTTTCATACTTCACTTTGGTGGCATTTTGCCTCGAGATCAAGCGAAACTCACCATCCACCTCCCTGCTGTTCGTGCTGTTGTCGCTGACCGTGGGTAGAAAACCTACCACTGCATTTATTTCTGCTTCCCACTCTGTTGAGCATCACGTTTTCTGAAGGATCCTCCTCCACAAGAGTCTCCTTCTGAGCATGAAACCATTGCACGGACCTGCACCTGGGGAGGAAGAACCCCAGGCACCAATACAGGTTAGGGATGGATCTTCTGGGAAGCACTACTGAGGAAAAGGATCTGAGAGTCCTGGTAGATAGCACACTGTCCATGAGCCAGCAATGTGCCCTTGTTGCCAAGAGGGCCAATGGAATCCTGGGCTGCATAGGGAAGAGTGTGGCCAGCAGGTCGAGGGAGGTCATTCTCTCCCTCTGCTCTGCACTGGTGAGGCCACAACTGGAATCCTGCGTCCAGTTCTGGGCTCCCCAGTTCAAGAGGGACGGGGAACTACTGGAGAGAGTCCAGCGTAGGGCAACAAAGATGATTAAGGGATTGGAGCATCTCCCTTATGAGGAAAGGCTCAAGGAGCTGGGACTCTTTAGCCTGGACAAGCGAAGACTGAGGGGAGACCTTATTTATGGTTATAAGTATCTAAAGGGTGGGTTGAAGGATGTTGGAGCCGGACTCTTTTCAGTGGTTTCCAGCGATAGGACAAGGGACAACAGGCTCAAGCTGGAACATGGGAAGTTCCATTCAAATATGAGGAAAAACTTCTTCACAGTGAGGGTGATGGAGCCCTGGAAGAGGCTGCCCAGGGGGGTTGTGGAGTCCCCTTCTCTGGAGATCTTCAAGACCCGCCTGGATGCAGTCCTGAGTGATGTGCTCTAGGCAATCCTGCTTTAGCAGGGGAGTTGGACCAGATGATCTCTAGAGGTCCCTTCCAACTCTGACAATTCCGTGATTCCCTGCTTGTGCCTCTCCACCAAAGCCAAAACGCTCTGGCCTATAAACTTATTTATCAACCAGGCAGAGATGTTTTAGGCGGAGAGGGAGCAGCATCAAACCAGCTTCGAGCGTGGGTTTTTGCTTCTGCAGAGAACAATCCAAGTTTGACTTTGCTGGGGCGCAGGATTCATGCACTGGGAGAAGAATAACCCCCCCTGCCCCCCACCCTGGGCTGAATCTCTGGCTGATGGCTGGAATTTGAGGAAATCCTGCGAGTTTCTAATCTTAGGCTGCTTTTCCTGGGTAGTTTATGCCTTTAAATAGAAAGGCTTACATGGGATTGACTCCTACAATCCTTCTGCTCTGGACCAGCCTGTAATCTTTAGTGGCCAGCAACGGGCACAGGCACTGCAAAGGGAAAACAAGGCTTAGGTGGCCTCGCTTTCTGCTTCTTTGTCCCCAAAACCCCACTTTTGGAGCCAATTTCGGGCACACTCGATGGGCAGAAGCAGCCTCCAAGCTTTGTGAAACTGGGCAGGCAGAAAGAAGTTATAAATGACCCATGGGGGAAAGGCTGGAATACAGGAATATGAGCACAACCCTTATGAGCCACTAGAGAATCTACATAGAAGAAAGCCTCTATGGCCACAGCCTGGCCTGGGTTTGACTCAGTGGTACCACGTGCCCAGAGCATCCCTCACTCTAAAAATAGTCCAGGGATATCTAAAACACAACGCTCCTCTAAACCCGCGGTGGAAGGAGAATGCTCCAGAGATGCTCTTGAAAAGATGGGTAAATCTGGAGGTCTCACCTCCAGGTAAGATACTTTGGAGTTCCTAATTGTGTCATTAATTCAGAAGAGCATAATTAACGGAGTAATTTAACCAGGCATGAAAGCCAAAGGCAGAAATCACCCTGCTGAAGAAATCCCACTGGTGTTGGCAGCCCAGGTGTGGTGCTGACCAGGTAACGTAGTGATACCAGCTGGAGACCTGTCTCAGCTCGAGGCCTGCTCCCTTGGAGCGGCAGGGAAAGGACCTTGCTGTCTGCTGCTGCCACAAAAATGATCCAAGGAGCCCCTCTGCTGTGAGGACAGGCTGAGAGAGTTGGGGGGGTTCAGCCTGGAGAAGAGAAGGCTCCGGGGAGACCTTGGAGCCCCTTCCAGTCCCTCACAGGGACCTACAGGAAAGACGGGGACAGACCCCCTACAAGGGGTAATGGCTTCAAACTAAAAGAAGGGGGATTCAGACTAGATCTAAGAAAGAAGTATTTTACACTGAGGATGGTGAGACCCTGGCCCAGGTTGCCCAGAGAGGTGGGAGATGCCCCATCCCTGGAAACATTCAAGATCAGGTTGGACGGGGCTTTGAGCAACCTGATCTATTTGAAGACATCCCTGCTCGTTGCAGGGGGGGTTGGACTAGATGGCCTTTAAAGGTCCCTTCCAACCCAAACCATTTCGTGGTTCTATGATTCTATGTGTCCTCCTCTCCCAGGTTTCTCCTGGGCTCTTTTAATGAAATGGGAAAGGAGAGAACGGGTGATAAGAGCAGGTCATAGAGCAGAAGTGTGATGGACCCATTGCTGCAGCTCCCCAGCTCCATGGCCCCAGGCCACACACAACCAACTGGCAGACCATTGCCCAGGACTAATTAAGCAGAAATCCAAAAGTTGTGCTGTAAACGAACAAGATACAGCCCTGGCCATGGAGAAACTTGAGATTGGGTGCATCTCTGTGAGATGTGGCAGAGATGGTCACACCAAGCAAGAAGAGGTCCTTAAGGATGCAACCAGTTCTGGGGTGAAGTCCCTCACTGATAGGCAGTGCCCAGCCATGCTTCATCCCTGTCTTTTGCTAACGGTATGTGTCTGTCCATGTGGGAAATGTGACAGGCACCTGGATCTCAACTGCACCAAGACATCCTCATCATGGGATCTTTCAGGTGAACTACCTGGGATGCTTTCTAAAGCTTATTTATTTGGTCTGGAAGAGAACATCTTGTTCATACGAACATATGAAACTGGTTAGAGAGTGTTGTCCCCTACAACTTGCAATGGCATGAGGGAGTATCATTTCTAGGAGGACCATTTATGTATCTGGATGACCATTTACATTGCAGATTTCCAGAAGAGCAGTCCAGCTCATCCCTGGCGAGCAAACGCAGGTTTTCTCCGTAACTTTCCAGTAGGATTTGCAGTGGGTGGTCACAGACTTGAGAGCTTGGCAGCCTTTTCAGTGGTGCTGTTTGCTGCAGAAACCACTTATTTTTATCCTTGCAGGGAATAATCATCTCCTGATGTCTGTGCTGAAATCTGTGATGCGTGCAGCTGAGCTCCTTAACTTCACAAGGTCTGTGCCACCACCCATCACAGACCCCAAAGCAAGACGCCAACCCTGGCTTTACCCATCCTCTTCCTCACCTCTTGCAGATCCTTCTCCCTACACCTACTCCTGGCCTTTCCCTTCAGCCAGAAGAGCATGTCCTGGAGAGCAGGTCCCACTGCGTGTTGGCTACTGGTTGGCAACCAATTCCCACGCTGGGCAGCAACTCCTAGACCAGATCACCTTATCTCTGTACATCCCTGTCCAGAAGAAGAGTCCTTGCACTGCCCCAGCTTGCCCCGGCTTCCCCACCCCACCGATGTGTCTGCAATAGCCTCTGACGTGTCCTCAAGACAGAAGGGAGGGCGAATGGAATGGTTCCTCCTCCCACCACCCTGTCTTGGAGCGCGTGGGAAGTCCGACGACTGCTGCTGGGAGATTGTGATGAGTCAGTGTTTGCACATGAAGAGTCACTGCAGGGAGGTGCCAGAGAGGAGGGAGGGATGCCCAGCCTCGTCGGGGAGTGTAAATGTCCCAGGAAGAACACAAATTCTTATTCATGAATTCTGCATCCAGTTCTCAGCACAAGAAGGACACAGAGCTGTTGGAGCGGGGCCAGAGGAGGCCACCATGGAGATGCTGGGAGGGCTGGAGCCCCTCTGCTGGGAGGAGAGGCTGAGAGAGTTGGGGGGGTTCAGCCTGGAGAAGAGAAGGCTCCAGGGAGACCTTGGAGCCCCTTCCAGTCCCTCAAGGGGCTCCAGGAAAGATGGGGAGGGACTCTTGATGAGGGAGGGGAGCCCTAGGAGGAGGAGGAGCAGTTTTAAACTGAAAGAGGGGAGATGGAGCTGAGATGTGGGGAAGAACTTGTTTGGTGTGAGGGTGGTGAGAGCCTGGCCCAGGTTGCCCAGAGAAGCTGTGGCTGCCCCATCCCTGGAGGGGTTCAAGGCCAGGTTGGAGGGGGCTTGGAGCAACCTGCTCTGGTGGGAGGTGATAGAACTAGATGATCTTTAAGGTCCCTTCCAACCCAAACCATTCTGTGATTCTGTGAAACCCACTAAGCTGTCAAGGACAGGTGTCCACATAGTAGGGTTGCTGCTAGCAGGGCCACCATGGACTAGAAGTGTCATCCCATGAGGAAAGGTTATTCCCTAGCCCTGTCTCCACCTCAGTCCTTTCAGATGGGAGATGTGCCACATCCCTAACCCATGACTGCCCTCACAGATCTCTCCTGGGACATGCCAGGAGGTGCCTCTTGGGAGCTCCATCACACCAAGTCTGGGGAACCACGCCATCCAACATGCTGTTGGATGGGAGGCCATGGGAAGAATGACTGGTGAGTCCACAAAGCAGGGCTTTTGGGATATTTTTTTATTATAACCAATTCCCCGTCCCTTCACTGATGCAGTTTGTATCATTGTTTTTTCTTTTAGCTAAAGATGCTCCTAAGCACATGTGGTGGCTTCAGACGTGGATTAGCTCAGGACTTCATCCCTGGATTTAGATTTAAAGGTGAGAGTTGCACCATGGACAGGTCCTCCATGCTGGACACCCTTGCTGACATCCCCACAGACACCCAAATATCACCAGTCTCACGATGAAGAGCACAGAGTGCACCAGAGGATGCTTTACATACATCCCCAAACCACCCTCTCTCTTGCCAGGCACTTGCTGGCTGTAGGGACGCTCCTCACAGCCAGCCTGAAGGTGTCCTGGTTATTTTTGTCAAGGCCTTGATTTCCTCTCTCCTTTCTTTCAGCTCTAAAATGGGGAAAAAATGAGCCCCTAGGATGATGACAGATTCACAAGGGACAATGAGGAGGAACCTTCCCCTCCACAGGTATGGTTGGAGCTTGTCTACACCATGGTGAAGTCAGATCTTCATCTGGAAGATCTTCTTCCCTTCGTCCTATCTGGAAATTAACCTATTCACTTTCTCGTAGGTGACCTTCTTTCTCTTCACTCTCTCCTTCTCCTGAAAAGCAGGAAAAGGATGCATGATGGGCACAAACCCCATAGAGATGTAGGTTGACTTATTTTGCTCTTCTCAAAGTTTAATGCTCCTTTCAGGTTCCCTGCTCTGGCTAAGTTCAGTAATGGAGTGAGGCAGTCCTGGCTTTAGATTTTGACCTCCATTTCCAGCTTGAATGGGATAAATTCCCATGTCAAAAAAGAGCTGGAAGAACCACCCCAGGAATTTTTGGTCCCAGGTCTCTGCTAGGACCTGCCTCTAACATGAAATGAATTTTCTGTCCTTGCTCACAGCAGAGGCCAAGCAGGGAGGGAGGCCAGAAAAACAGGGGGTCATGCCGGAGTTGTGTTTTTTCCTTCACTCAGCTCTGAAATAAAAATATATCTCGGGCTTGTTTGGGCATTAACAAGAAAAAAATTCATCTTGATGGGAACCATCTGGGGCTGGGAGATGCCGGCTGCTCTCTGCTTTCCACCCAGCAGGCAGACGCTGTTATTTGGGGTGTGTTCCTCTCCCAAATATTATTCTTCTCATCCCTGGGCCGGTCAGAGGAATTCCAGCTATTTAAGGAGGCTTTTCTCTCTCCCAGCATTAAAAAGGCAGCAGCAGCAGCTCGTTACACCTATATAACATAATATTTGCTTTCCTCATTACGACACCGCTGCCCAGCACAGCTTGCTGGTGGCCACTGGTTCTCCCTAGTGTAAATACTGGAAGCATCTTTGTTATAACCTTTCCACCCCAGACGTTACCTCATGTTTAAAACAAATATCTCCTGGTTTCTCTGACCTGTCCTGCAAACCAGGAGGGGAAAATCTGCCCCGAGAAGTGGAGATGCCCTTGCTCTGCATCTGCTGTGCTGCTGGAAATCAGGGTATTTGCACTATTCTCTCCACCACGGTGTGGAGGACCGTGCTGGGGCACCTTCTAACCCCACATAGGGCTTGGGGGGGTCTGCCAGCGGAATGGAACCACTTCTGTGTTGGAGGATTGGCAATGGGAGGTTCTTTTTACAGCACCAGAGAGTGGTCAGAGCAGGAAAAAGCTTCCTAGACCAGGAAGAGGATGGGAAACTACTGTGTCCAGCTCTGGTGTCCTCAACACAGGAGAGACATGGACCTGTTGGAGCAGGGCCAGAGGAGGTCACAGAGATGCTGGGAGGGCTGGAGCCCCTCTGCTGGGAGGACAGGCTGAGAGAGTTGGGGGGGTTCAGCCTGGAGAAAAGGAGGCTCCGGGGAGACCTTGGAGCCCCTTCCAGTCCCTCAAGGGGCTCCAGGACAGATGGGGAGGGACTCTTGATGAGGGAGGGGAGCCATAGCATGAGGAGGAGCAGTTTTAAACTGAAAGAGGGGAGATGGAGCTGAGATGTGGGGAAGAACTTGTTTGGTGTGAGGGTGGTGAGAGCCTGGCCCAGGTTTCCCAGAGAAGCTGTGGCTGCCCCATCCCTGGAGGGGTTCAAGGCCAGGTTGGAGGGGGCTTGGAGCAACCTGGTCTGATGGGAGGTGTCCCTGCCCATGGCAGGAGATGGGACTCGAGGATCCTTAAGGTCCCTTCCAACCTGAACCATTCTATGATTTTATGATTCTAAACTCAAGCTGAAACCAGCAGAAGGCAGGGCAATGTCTGGTCCCGGGAGGAAAGGAGGAGAAGCTGAATATGTTTCTCTGCTGTCATGGTGCTTCCGGCAGGTGAGGAGGCTGCCTGGCCGAGATGCCTCCTCCCAGCACCGGCTCTTGGCAGGTCGAGCAGGAAACTGGAAGCGAGACGAGACCAACAGGTTCTCTGTGCTCACAGGGCTGCAAGAACCGCTCGAACGGCAGCTACACACCTGATCTGGGATCCACCCTCTGCCTAGGAGTGAGGTGCTGAGATGAGCTAGTTAGGCACAAAATGGGCCAAAATGAGCACTTTAGGGGCTTTTACAAACCTGGGTCGAAGGGGGGATTTTTGTGTGGACTTTACTAGCCATGACATCTTCAGAGTGAGTCCAGATCTTGCTTGGGAGATGGTTTAGACTCACGTGCACCAGCAATGGCAGGATGCGTAGGTCTTGCCTACAGTGCCCTCCTGCTTGTCCCTTGAGGACAACCTGCTGCATAGAGCGTGGGCATCCCTGAGTTATTTTAATCTCCCAGGACGGAGTTAGCTCCCCTCCTCCATGGAGCCCGACACCAGATGGTTGGAGAGAAGGATGTCACTGCCTCCCTCCCACTGGGTCTGGCACAAAGCATCCCAGTGTCACCAGCACTGGTGGGTTTTGCAGTCCAGGGGGTGAAGGCAAAATGCCCTCCACCTTTAAGGCTGGCATAAATCCACCCGTAAGACACCAGCTCGTTCCCTCCCCGCAGCCCATACTCCCACCCCAGGAATGTGGGATGCTCTGACATTTCTTTGCCCAGCCCTGCTCTGACCACGGGCTGGGAATAGTCATTGCTGCTCTCCCCGGCCAGGCAGCTGGCCCTACCCATCCTGCCCGTCTTGCCTCCTTGGGGATTTGTATGATAATTGCTGAAACACTCTTGGGTTTCACCCTGCCCTGGCGCCGCAGGACCCCAGGGACAAGGAGCCCTTCCAGCTAAGTGCTGGCTCAACCCCAGCCCAACCAGTGCTCCCAGTTCAGTGGGACCATTTTGCTGCTGGTGATGGTTGGACGAGACGATCTGAAGGGTCCCTTCCAACTTAGGTAATTCTATGATTCTATGACCATGAGGAGGTAGCAGGAGCTCTGCCAGCACAGCTTGGGTTGCAGAAGTGAAGTCCTTCCCATGTCCAAGCCCTTTGCCTCCTCCTGCTGTGTCACACCCCTCTTTGATTTCATCTAGGAGAGCACAGAGGCTGCCTGAGGAATCCGGGATTGAACACAAAGATAGACCCACATGGGTAACGTTTAGGGATAATATAATAATTAGTGATGCAACCAGAGCAGCGAGGCATTGGGAAGAGCTGTGTGGCCTCTGCTCTTAACATGGTGACAGAAATCTCCTGGGATAAGGCTTCGTGGAGGATTTTGGGCGAGGGATCTTGAACTGCTTCGGAGAAGGACAAGCAGCACACAGACAATTCTGCCCTTTGACTCACCTCTGGTTATTTTAAGTTGCTTCTGATGCCTCCACGCTCATGTCCTCCCCGGTGGCTGCACACAGGGTCTTGCTCACTCTTGTTCCTGAGTCGCCGCTTGTCCAGGTCCCACCACGTAAGCTCTGAGTCCTCCCTGGCTCTGACACACAAACTTGGGGTCCAAACACCGTAATTATGGTCAGACTAGTTCTGCACGATGAGGGGTGACCACCTTCATCCACCCCTGCATTTACCCTTCCTATGCAAACTGATTAAATTGCTTTATGGTGGACACTCTTTGCAATAGGTTGTTACACTCTTCACCAAAAGAGAAGAGTGGTCCTGCTTGTCTAGTGTTCCATTTTTTTTTTGGGGAGGGGGATGATGAACCTTTCAAGTGCACCCAACCTTCAGGCAACATCAGCTCTGATGACCATCTCCACTCCACTCTGCCTAAAATCCTCCCCATGATCCCAGGCCACCCAAATGCTGGCTAGCACTAGTGGTGTTCCACAAGGAGAATTCATCTTCCCAACATCTTGTATTAAGGCTCTGATGGGCCAAATACGCCCCAAAATGTTGATCTGACTTTAGTAGAGGAGTGTGCTTGTGCATAGTTACTGGCGCTTGGACATAGTTACACATGATGCTGGGGTACTGCCTCCAGCTTTGGAAACCTCAGCACAAGAAGGATGTGGACCTCTTGGAGCGGGGCCAGAGGAGGCCACAGAGATGCTGGGAGGGCTGGAGAACCTCTCCTAAGAGAACAGGCTGAGAGAGTTGGGGTTGTCCAGGCCAGAGAAGAGAAGGTTCTGGGAAGACCTTGGAGCCCCTTCTAGTATCTGAAGGGGGCCTACAAAAAGGCTGGAGAAGGACTTTTTACAAGGGCACGTATGATAGGATGAGGTGTAATAGCTTCAAACTGAAAGAGAGTGGATTTGGATGAGATCTCAGGAAGAAATTCTTTACTCTGAGGGTGGTGAGAGCCTGGCCCAGGTTGCCCCAAGAAGCTTCGGTCTAGTGGGAGGTGTCCCTGTGGGACTGGATGATCTTTAAGGTCCCATCCAACTCAAACCATTCTGTGATTCTATGACAAGGACGACTGAACTCGGCTGGTCTTTTCTCGGTGGTGCCCAGTGACAGGACAAGAGGAAAGGGGCACAAACTTGAGTATAAGAAGTTCCACCTAACCATGAGGAGGAACTTCTTTACTGTGAGAGTGGTAGAGCACTGAAAGAGGCTGCCCAGAGAGGTGATGGAGTCTCCTTCTCTGGAGACATTCAAAAACCTCCTGGATAAGATCCTGTGCAACCTGCTCTAGGTAGACCCACTCCGGTGAGGGGGTTGGATTGGATGTTCTCCAGAGGTCCCTTCCAACCCCATATGATTCTATGATTCTATGCACCCCACACAAGCTGTGTTCCACCCATCAAAAAAAAGCAGTTTACAGGTTAAATTTATATAAACCACTGGACCAGCATCATGTAGATGCTGTTACACAGATGCTGTTACACAGTAGACCCACGTTATACTGCAACAGGAAGAAAATACACTGGTTCTTTATTAGAAGGGGGGGAAATGCATTCGCACAGTATTTTCCAGACAATGAGGTTTTGAACTCCGGGGGTTTAATTTCGGCATTGCTTGTGCAAACGTGCTCCATCCCAGACAGACTTGGCCAGAGGCTGTGATGGGTCTTTCATCCCAGGCTGCAGATAAAGCCCCCGTTACGGGGTCATCGAACAGAGACCTTCAAACCCCGCGTCTCCGTCCGAAAAAAGAAAAAAAAAAACCCAGGATGGAGATAATCAGAAAACTGATGTTCCCCTTTGCCTGGCTGGATAAGAGAGGCTTTGTTCAGGGCTCCAGCTCGGGTCTGTGGCGGAGCCGCTCGAGAGAGATTTTATTTCAGCTACCTGCAAAGAAACTATGAGAAGAATGTGGTGGGTTCCTCTCGGGCTGGAGAAACGGAGAGATATCACCCGAAGGTGGAGTTTAATATTAAACTGGACCAGTGCACGTCTGTGAAAGGTTTGATTGTGCGCCTATCTCTGTTGATATATAAACATCCCCTCCAAAGTCACATCAATGGGGC